GTCATTTTTTTACGCAGTCGCTAGCGAGCACACTTAACGTAAACTCATGGTAGGCACACTGGAGGGAAAGTACTCTTAATACTGTAGATAGAAAATTTTACTGAAAGAAAACATTCCTTCATTTTTGAAAAGAAAGAGAACTACATTCAAAGATTTTCGAAATTTTTCTAAAATTGTCTACCATACTATCACTTTTCAGTACATAATTAAAATAATTTAAAATTTCATGGTTTTCCTTTCATTTAATTTATCAAGTTTTCATAGAGAGATTTCATCCTTATACTTAACCCTAACGATCGGTGCAATAAAAATACAGGGTGTAATTTTTAACAGATTTTAGTTGTTTCGAATCCCGGGTGTGGCAAGCAAATTTTTGGAAATTTTTGAATGCAGTTCTATTTATTTTCCAAAATAAAGGAATGTTTTCTTTGAGAAAAATAATCTATCTACAATATTAAGAGTACTTTCTCTCCAGGTGGCATTACAAAATTCCACCCTGTATACCTAGCGGAATAGAGTAGAGCAATGTTTTTCAACCTGTGGGTCGCGACCCCCCGGGGGGTCGCGAAGCCTCTTTGGTCGCGAGAGCTCGTAAAAACTACCTCAGTAAAAAATCAGAGAAGTTGTAAAGCTAGATTTATCCGAAATCAAATTATGCAAATGCATAAATGTTGTATAGATTGAAGAATTCGGTCCCTACAACATCTTTGTAAAAAGCATGAAAAAAAACGAGCGGTCGGGGGGTCGCAAAAATTTTTTTCATACTAGGGGGGTCGCGTCATGTTAAAGGTTGAAAAACACTGGAGTAGAGAATATTAACATGATGGTGTGTCCTGTCAGGTTCACGGCGGAGTACGTGTCGCGCTGCGTGCTGGGCGTGCACTCGCGCGCGCTGGCCTGCGCGCTGTGCCTGCTGCTGCGCCGCGCCGCGCTCGACCTGCACGCCGAGGTCGAGCAGAAGGAGATCGGTACGGAACCAACTGTTACTTATGCAGCGAGGATGCCGTGACCCTTTGGCAGGAGCGGTGGGATGCCAGCAGTGACGGACGTGAGCTGTACCAGTTCTTTCCCATTGTGGCGGTGAGGCTCTCTCTCGGCTGGGTTGAACCGGACTACGTGGTTTCCCAATTGTTAACTGGGCACGGGTGCTTCAGGCAGCGCCTACATAGGATGACGCTGTGCGAGTCTGCACTATGCCCATGCGGCGAGGAAGTCGAAGAGAGCCGCGATCACGCGCTTTGGGAATGTAACCTTTATGACGAAGCTCGACAGAAGATGCTGGATGCGATACGGAGAGCCGAGCAGGGACCTGTTTATCACCAGGACCTCACGAGTAGTCGTAGTAATTGGATCGCGCTGCGCGAGTTCGCGCACTCCTGGCACACAATCAGGCGAAGTTATGAGAAGTGATGACATTCATCAACGTTAGCAGCCCGACGCGAAGTACCGTATTTGTGGTGTCAAGCCCCAGAAGGGGGAGAATTGACAATGAGAAGGGACAAGGATAAGAGAAATTTGTAGGGAGTCAAGCAAAGCGCCCGGGGAAAGAGCCCAGAGCAAGTACCTGCGCGCTCTCCCGAGATTCGGTTCGTACGCCGTGAGGCAGGAAGAACCATGGGTGGTGGTGGGATTTGTTCCTTATGCAGTAGCCCCGTAAGGGGGGGCGGTGCGCCCCGGGTGCCAAGCATCAGGGGCCAAAAAATCCTGGGGGGCACCAGACCATTCGCCCCGGCCAACCCATGCTACGCCGCCACTTTACTGTGCTGCTTGCAGTGAAAAACGCCCAAGCATCAGGGGGTGACTACGGAGTGACAAGTACAACTCAGTCGCACGACAAGAAGGTGCGATTGGTATCATTAGGTCATGACTGATCAGATGGTGAATGGTCTGGACCATTGTCGGGTGCCCTGGCCCTTATGACGGGGGAGGGGGGGGGGGNGAAGGCATGTGGGCAAGGGAGGGCAGCTACTTTTGTTTTTCCAGGAGAATACAATTTCAATATACCTAATTAAGGCTTGGTATTTCTGCTAATGTAGGTATTTAGCGCTGTCAAAATCTGCGCGCGTAATATTCCGAGTGAAGACAGCGCGCCAAAGAGCTCTCTTCTCAGTGACACAGTATAGAAATAAGCAGTTGGTTAGGTTAGGTTGACTTGCTTCCCTTCTGCTGCGCCGCGCCGCGCTCGACCTGCACGCCGAGGTCGAGCAGAAGGAGATCGGTACGGGACCAACTGTCATTACTTATACCGCTTGCAGTAAACATATGTATCATGGGGGCAAGGAAGGACAGCTACTTCTCCTCTCCATTTCCAGCCTACTATTAGAGACCGATAGATCTATTCTTATAAATAAAACACTGGATACGTATCTTTTACATTAAATCGCCTCATTTTAAAATACAATTCATCACTTCGTTCATCAATTCGTCCGCGTGCGTTCCTCTATTCTGACATTTCTAGTGTGACATTGACATTAGTACGTCATCACTATGACAGCAGCTCATTGGCTATAACGATACCGTTATTTTAACGTTTAGATTTTTCACAATTAACACTACCTATCTTATGTTTTGTATTTAAGTGTCTAGCACCGGGAAATTTGCTCGCTCCTAACTTAGGTTAGAATGTACCCTCCCTTCTGGCCCAAAAGCTGATCTGCACTGACTGCTCTACAATTACGAGAGGTAGTTTTTTCTATGAGAGATTTACAGTTTTAAGGTCAACTCGGAAAGGGATCGACACCGTATAGCCTTTAGCGAGCTGTCGTCGCCTTTCGCGCGCTGTCAAGCGAGGCGTTTACGTTACGGTGCGGATAAGCGTGCGTCGAAGTTTGGATTTTCATGCAAGAATACCGACGGCCTCGAGTTGATACGGTTACGATCCCTTTCCGGGTCGATAAATGTGCTCCGGCCTTTAGAAGATTTTAAACGATCAATCACTATAGGTATTAAAGTAGTAGTACAAAGTTGCACAGCGTGCTATGGAATTGGCTATGCTGGGTGTTAACGAGATCAAATCAGAAATGAGGAGATCCGTAAACGAACTAAAGTCACTGACATAGCCTGACGGATTATCGAGCTGAAGTGGCAATGGGCAGGGCATATAGTACGTAGAACTGACGGCAGAAAGGTTTTGGAGTGGAGGCCACATACCGGAAAACGCAGCGTGGGACGTTCACACCCACAAGATGAACCGACGACCTGTTAAAGGTAGCAGGAAGGTGCTGGATGCAGGCCACTACCAACCGTGCGATGTGGAAGTGATTGGGGAAGGCCTTTGTTAAGCAGTGGATGTCCTGTGCCTGAAATGATGATGATGATGAAACGATCAATATTTTCTGTCTCCCAGGAGCATCATGGAGCGTGTCCTTGGAGTCGTTATGCGAGAAGGCACGCGCCTCCTGGCGTGCCGGCGCCGGCGTGCTCGAGCGCGCGGGAGGGCTGGCCGCGGCCGCACGCGCCGCGCGTGCCCGCTGCGTGCGCGCCACCGCCGCGCACCGCACGCACGCGCGCGCCGCCGCGCTCGCGCACCACGCGCGGCTTAGAGCGCTGGCGCACGCGCAACTGCACGCCGAGGTCAGTCGCGACTAGAGATTAGGGCATGCAAAAACCGAACTTGTCGATTTTTTTTTTTTAAAAACCGAAGTAAACCGGTTTTTTCGGGTTTTTCGGGTCGACTGTTTGTAAGTAAATAAAAATGCTGCAAATTATAATAAAAATCATTTTATTTCTTTTATATTCTAGTTTGACAAGATGAAATTACATGTTCTGAACATAATATTGTGAGATCAGTTGAATAGTTTAATTAAAAATCAAATATAAAGAGATCAACAATAGGATACTTCGCTCATTAGCAAAGCAAAACCTTTGGTCATAGTTATGCTTAATTAAATAATATGTAAGTTGACACTGACAGAGACTAGCAATAATAATAATAGCAAATAGCGGCAATGGTCAATTACAAAGCGCGTTTCATTTTGCGCGCGCGCGCGCTTATAGCTTTACCTAGAAGATACATGGTACTTTAGTTCAATACCATAACCATAGACTATACTCTACTCATTCACATTGCATCACAATAATCGTTTTTATTGTATATGACTAAAGAACGATGTTTTTGTATAAGTTATTAAATTATCTAAAATCGTAAAAGAAAAACCGAAATAATCGAAAGCCCCGGATTTATAACTGACAAAAACCGAGTTTCAAATTGTGTCGGTTATCCGGTTTGCATGCCCTATTAGAGATGTAAATTGACTGAATCTGACCGGTCACGATGATCAATCCATTTGACTCAATATTACTGAACTACCACCAAATAATTTATTCATTTAGGTACCGAATACGTTGCTGCGTGCGTGCCATTTGAGCACCCTTTATTTGTAAAATAGTGAGATACAGGTCTTAACGCAACGTTTATTATAATGTGACTCATTAATAAACTTCGCGTTAAGACCTGTGCCTTACTATTTTACACTCGATAGCAAATAAATCGCACCACCCGCGACGCGAACTTTAAAGATTTTCTTTGGACACAATAATGTTGCCCCAACAATATTGGTGTTATTTGAAAGCCCAATAAATATCCTTAAAGAAAAACACATTTAATTTCTTAATAAATGATTAACATATACCATAAATTTTAATGTGACTTGAAAAAAGACCTCACTTTGGGCTCACCTCTGGGATCAATTAGACCAAATTTTATGGTTATAAAACCAAATAATGATCACACGTGTCCTATTTAACAGATGGATAGCGATTAATCCCAACTTAACAGTTTTATAGCCATAAAAGTTGGCTCAAGCGTAACTATCTATTTTTTGAAGAAGTGACTTTGGATCCTTCTAAAGAAACATTTTTGGGGTAAAAACCTTTCCTATAATGAAATGAAGTTTAGAACTAGGCTTTTGAATGGTACCAATATTGGTGTGAAGTGGGGATGCATACGTTTGAAAGTGCTTGTCGCGGGTGGTGCGATTTATTTGCTGTCGAGTGTAGTTAAAATGGAACGCGAAAGTTTAAAATCTTACTCTTTATTTGCTTGGTATGCAGGTGGTGGGCGGCGCGCAGGACCCGGGCCCGCTGCTGGCGCGGCGCGCGCGTGAACTCGGCGCGGCTGGAGACAGACTAGCGGCCGCCGCGGCGCGCGCGCAGGCACTCGTCACCGCCGCGCACCAGAGGTATGTCATGTACAGTCACGGAATTTATTTATTTATTTATTAGGTCTACCAACATTGTTACATAACAACATGTACACTTAAAAATAACAATTATGAACAAAGTTACAATGCAACAACAATTATAGGCTGACACAACATGCAATTTAGATTCAATGCAGTTTGTTCCGAACCGTTCCATGCACACATAAAAGACATTTAATCATATCAAATCTGACACAAACAGTTGAGACGCCACAAAGGAGTATAGTTTCCTTTTATACTGTGTTTGGGAGTAGTGCAGGAGATCACTTTCGGTGGCACCAGTGGCCCCGTAGAACCTGTTATATTCAACGCAGAGTCTATTTAACGACATTTTGTGCTCCCAGATTTGTCCTACGTATATAGGGAATGAAAAGGTTCGTCAGTTTTCAAATTGATTCCTTCAACGAATCGCGATCACATATTACCTTTTGAAACTATGTTACAGAATAATCTCGAGTTAGATAAAATAATCTTTAACTGTTCGTCAGTAAAGTTCAAAATTATTCAGATCGAAGTTGTTTGACGATTTAACTTGTCAAGAAGATTATTATGATTGATAAACTGAAACCTTCTTGTTGGTTCAACCTGACATTATCTATTAAATAAATAAAAACTACATTTTGTAACATTGCACTGATCGATGGAAAAATAAACAAGCAAAACCTTATTCGTTAGCAAACATGACGTTTGCTTATTAGACATTTATTTAAATGTTAGCAGCACTGTTTCTTGCACGGTTATGTTGGCAGGTTTGACTCTTACAGTACCTAGTGCAAGCGAAAACCGACACTAAGGTGACGAATTTTTTCATTCCGCGACTGTACTACCCTACCACTTACCAACAGTCAAACCACACATGTAATGCAAATAAATGATTTGATTTGGTAACTACACTTTTATTGTTTACTAGCTTTTGTTCTCGGCTTCGTACGCTTGGACCCCCATTAGTCCGTCGCAGAGTATAGACGCTGCAAGCGACGTTTTCCATATATTTTTTTAGACGCAACGCAGCGCAATGGACCAATGGGGCCTCACCCTTAGTTTCGTAAAATCCGTTTCTATAAGGAACCTACCTGCCCAATTTCAAGTTGGTAGGCATTTTAGTTTCTAAGATTTCGTGATGAGTGAGTCAGTGAGTTCCACTGTTTTTATGTTTTCTATTGCCTAATACCATAGATATCTGCACCAATGGTACTGGTGTTTTAATACGTTTGGAGATATCTCACTGTCATCTTCATTTTCTTATTTTTTTTTATGAGACAGGTGGCAAACAAATGACAATATTGTAATAACAAAACATTCGTCCTCAGAGTGAAATGGGGCGCCGGCGCGAACCCGGCTCTATCCAGCGTGGTGGTTTCCTTGGAACGCGCGTGGGCCGCACGTCGCGCGCGCGCGCACGCGCTGGCCGCGGGAGCACGCCAGCTGAGCACGCACGCACGCCGCGCGTCGATGGCGCGCGCCGCCGCCGCGCGACACAAGCACGCCAAGGCGCTGCGCACGTCACTCGCGCACTGGGAGAAGGTCAGTGACTTACAATACCCGGCGATAAATATTGCACATCTACCTTAAGAAAGAGAAATCGCCTAATTTCGGTTTCGTAGAGCGTTATCACTGTCGCACTTGAACAACGACTGGCATAATGACGTTTTGTCAAAGTGTAAACAAACTTTATTTTAAATGTGTGCAATTGATTTTGTGAATTATAATGCTAAAAACTTTTATAGTCGTGAAAGAAAAGTGGTTCACAATAATATTGTTAAAGTATTTTTCGAAGAGAAATACTAAGGGTTCGGTGTGCGACAGAGATAACGCTCTACAAGCCGAAATTAACCGATTGTCTCTTTCCAAAGGTCGAAGTGCAATATTTATTGCCGGCTATTGTAAACTATACGTGACTTTTTTTTATTTTTGAGAATAAAACGTGAGTAACAATTATAGGAATCTTGAAGGGCCCGAATTGAAAGGCAGCAACACTCGTGAATTTGGTTTACTTCCAAACTCTTGACGATAAAATTACAGAGCGTTTACAATCTTGCCGGGTTGCCAGAGAGAAGAGAGCTTATAGTTACAGTACCATAGACAAAATAATTCTAAAGGTCTAATAAACATGCCGATAGGTGGCGCTCTAGGCGGGTTTGCTTTACAATTTAATCGTTATTCGAGCCTTATGGGCCTCTTTCAATTTAGACGTTTCGAGGACGTTTATCTTGCGTTTGCGAGACCGCACACCGTAAATTGTATGATAACTGCGTCGAAATAAAATTGACAGTTACTAATAGTTAGTGTGCGGTCTTGCAAACGCACGACAGACGTCCTGCTGAAAACGTCTTCAACTTCATATTTGAAAGAACTCTAAGATTTGTGACTGAGTAAATCTACATTTATTCATATGAAGTGGAAAAAAAGCAAAGATTACAAAATAACATTTTTTATTTAAAATAAAATCTCAGAAGTCTTCCAACTTCTTCAATTTTAACCAAAAACATATTAACTAAATTATCTATTCTAAACATATTTATCCAGTACACGAAAGCCTCAGTTTCATTTTCCACATAGAAGCGAACTGTACATCACTACAGTCCTGTTTGTTCCTTGATGAAGTCCCGGATGGGCTTGGAGGCGATGTCGGCGAAGACACTCGGCGACAGCGCCTGTCCGCAGCCGCGCCCGTACGAAACTATGCCTACCGCCATACCGTCTTGGATCGCCGCGCCGCCAGAATCGCCCTGCGACAAGG